GGTGGTACATACCGTTCCATAGCTAAACTAATTCATGTTTAAAACTAAATGATACCAGACGTTTTTTCTAGATAAAGTACGTCTTATCTGTGAAAAAACATCTTCTAAAAAATTATTTTTTTTGGAAATACAATTCAGAAAAAATGTAACCGCCTAAAACAGCATTTGTTTAATTTATATCACCATGTTATTATAATTTATTTCTCTTAATATATTCAAACGTTTACTACAGAGCTTCGCGTGACCCGCACACCACTATGAGGTTAAAATCTCCCTAGAGACCTTCGCTAGTTAGTTACTCACAAAACAACTATCTGTGACATGCGAAGTTGGATAGCTGAGTAAGCAAGCTTTAAAAACTGTCATTTGATTATCAGTTCGCGATATACACTATTAATCAGTTCAATACACTCCCGATTAACATATAGGCATATTATTATTTCAAAAATCCTTTCGAGCTCCGCCCCAGTGGCTCTGGAGTTTCCCATGTTAACCTTATGAGAAATGGAATTATTGAATCTTAACAGCTGTTTCAATTAAACAAGTTGGTTCTGTTCTATGATGTTCAATAGCATTAAAGTTACAAGGATTACCAACAGGGTGCAGCACTATTATTTCTTTTACATTTATGACAACAGCTAATTCGAACGAACTTCAACCTGGAGGCGAGTTAGCGTAGCGAACGAGCTAACCTGAAGGCAAGTGAGCGCAGCGAACGAGCTTCAACCTAAAGGTGAGTGAGCGTAGCGAACGAGCTCCAACTTAAAGGTGAGTGAGCGTAGCGAACAAACTTCAACCAGGACGTGATTGAGCCATGCGAACGAGATAATCTTGAAAATTAAGAAGTTAAACGGGGCAAAGCCCGCGGGTTACAGCTAGTTTTTAATAAATATAACATCACACAGTCGTATGTCACGCAAATCAGTATGTGTTTTAACGTATCTACTAGCCCTACACAATGGATCTTCGTGTTGATATTTTATGGTTAAATAACAGTTCTCCGAATACATTTTATTTGCTTCCAGTATCATTTACTTGCCAGTAAATGTAACGCTATTTAAAGCTGTCATATTTTTTACATAATTGTATAACATCACCTGTGAAAAAGTCAGCATCAATAAAATGCAGTATGTGAACGTGGTTGTATAAACAAAAAAAAAAGAAGTAGAAAGAAACTGTGAAAACTTTTGTCTTATACCAATTACAATATTTTTTTTTATTTTAACAAAAGGTAATTGCCTTAAATTTCATTTCGATTTTATTAACTTATTGTTAATTTCAAATAAAACTACTTATCTAAACAAAGTCAGTTTTGGGGAAATTTGCATAATTGAAAAAATTAAACAGGAATGTTAATAATAAAAAATGATAAAACTGATGATGTGTTGATACAAAGGAAATTATGAAAATGGTGTACACAAAACTGAAACTAAAGTATAGTAAAATTAATTATGAGCTCTTTTTTAATTTGCTAACAGCTACTACTTTTACGCTTACTCCTCGGGGGGCACAGACCTAGGAATCGGAAGAAAACTGTTAACGTAAGAATAGATCGATATGCACATCGAATTAAAGGTCTTCACTAGTAGATTACAATGCCATGAATTCAAGCTCAAAAGAACGCCTGAGTAAAAAATGACAGTCGTTCAAAGATTAAAAATGGCAGATTCAAAAAAACTTTGGACAGCCGCCATTTTGCGCAGGATCAACCTTTTGAAGTGCGGTTTGCGACATTGTATTCTACGTGGTTATATAGTCAATGATTCTACTAAAAAGACCTTTCATTTAATGTTAATATTGACCTATGCTTCCGTTTAAGATTTTCTTCCGACTCCTTGCGGGACGTCCCCATGATATGACAGAAAATTCATAGTTCCTTGAAAAAGTAGATTTTTAGGTGTGGTGTTGATGTACCAAATCTTATTGATCTATCTGTTGTCGTTTGGAAAATATTAAGCCCGTGCGGGACTTTATATACACCCAGAAATATTGATATTACTTTAACTTTTTCCTATTTCTTATTTACTGTATTTCTATACATAATGTCTCTTAATGTGTATTGTTGGTGGACATATAAAAATAGCATAGATAGTTATTGAGTGACGGTATACAAGTTTATTTTTGCTTCAATAACTAAAACTGTAACATAAGATAAAAAAAAAAATCCGTTTATTTTTTAATTAGTAAACATTCAAAAAACAACTCTTGTATGCCGATCATAAAAAAAAAAACGGGTAAGCAACAAAAATTAAGTAACGATTTCAATCATTACAAAAAATGGTTCTAAAAGGTTTATATTTTTATGTAAAAATCTGCAAATTATATACTATATGAGATTATTGACATTTTATACTGTAAACGCTATAAAATTGATGCATTCATGAGTGTAATGAAATGTATCGATTGTTTATGTCTGAATGCAGTCACACGTACAACCTCCGCCAATGAATGGCTTCAATTATGCGGAAAGCTCACTACCCATTTTCTCTCCCGTTTCCAATTAAAAGTTTCTATTAAATATTTAATTGGTTGAATTCCAACCTCCTATTCATAAGGGGTTTAAAAACACTCAACGACCTGTTCGGATAATGATCAATTTGCCTTATACATTAAGTACATTAGTGATTGTATGCATTTCTGTTTTATTATTGTCAATATTGTGTAAATCAACCAGCTCGTAATTTAAAGCTAAAATTATAAACACAGTTTAAATTTACTTTAGCGATCATACCCTTATTTTTGTCAAAACTGTCCATGAACAACACTTTGTAATTTATTTTTGAAAATGGTTACATAGTTCTTAATTGCAGATATACAACAACAACAAACTACGCAATACATCTACTCAAGAGCTGAACAAAATCAACTCATATTATATTTAAGTTTAAAGTAAACCGCTTACATAGAGCTTATAATATTCTATACAGTATTATTCATGTTTACCTTTTTATATTTGTTACTGGAAACAATAACATCATCAATGAAAGATCTCAATTATTAAATTTTGTTTGGTATTAAGCTAACCCCACCCTTAACCAGTATCGAAACACATAGCTAATTGCACTTTCCCAATCCTAGATGAACCAAGTGTTATGTTTCCACTTTCAATATAGACCTAAATATTTGGCATTTGTGGGTGAAAGAAACTGTGTAAAGAAACTGTGTGGTTGAATTCTGCTACTCAATACATTTATGGACTGTTACTACTATAAGTATGATGAATACAGTACAGTAGCACAAACGATGAGTTAAAGCCACCAGCAGGGGGCGACCTATATAAGGACCTTAGTGCTTTTATATGTTCCAAGATTTCTCTCATATTTTCTCGCCTCTCAGGTCATATCCGGGTCATAAAACCGACATAAACCCGGTTTTAAACTTGCCATCGTAATAGAAACTTAACTGTTAAGGTAATAATAATCTAGAATTCCATAAGGTAAGTTTGTTGTGTATCATACCTTTGAAAATGTAACGTACATAATCTATATGTTATTTCTTAAGTAGTAGTATACTTTACTACTAACTGATTCGTGGACCTTATAATTATTATTTTAATTTATCATAGCATAAATGATAGTAGGCAATTTACCTCTATGTATAATTATTTTAAATCTGTGACTTTTGATTAAATGTTTCATGTAATGTACTTTTTATAATGTCAAAAAAATGTGAGACGATCTTGACGTACACTTGAATAAAGTAAAATAAGTACCTTAAGGTGAGCAGTAGCTTTGTACAGCAATTGGTTACGTTACTTCAAGTCACCTTCATTGAGGAGACTGTTACCTATAGATTGACTAACAATTAAGTTTGAAGTGCTCTTATGATAGAAGTTTGACTGGTTAAACTATTTCATTGTGTAGGTTATACCTTTCTATAAATTAACATAGTATGATAAATAAAACATCCTGATGTACTTCCATTTGTAATTAGTGACAAATTTGGTTACTAATATAATATTAATACTAATATACTGTTTTTCGCCTAGCAAGATTCCGTAGTAAAGGGTTTCACGCAATTTTAGGAAACTATATAAGCCGTAATATTTTTTCAAAACTTACGTATTACACAACAAACCTAAGGACTCAGGTTGATTGCATTAACTATTTCGTAGATAGATTTTACAAAGTCATACAACAGTTTGAAACTGAATACGTGTGCAGCTTGGGTCACTTGGGATTAATATTATTGCTGAGATTATTTATTTTATGTGACTTCAACACACCAGGATATGTATAAAAGATAGCCGTAGTGTAGATATAATAAGATAATAGCATTTAAACGGACGAATATCAACGAATTCCTTTTCTTGTAAGAATAGATTACTTACGTCAATAGCTCATTGAAAAAAAAATAATTCCTTTACTAGAATTGGTAATAACGAACTGTCTAACTACTAAAAGAGGTCCATGTTTCAACCATAAAAAGTGCTTTATATTTGCTTTACGATTTTGTTTCACGGCCCTAAACTTTTGTGTCTTAAGGACCTAACAGGCAATTTAATTTTTATTACAATATGTATTTTTCATTCAAGCATGATTGGCCAATATAAAATTTAAACAATTTGCTTTGTATAAATGTTTTTATTAGGAAGATACAATTTACCTAATAGCCTACATTATCCACTCTTTACGTTATTATGACCATATACACGGAATATTCGTTGGCCCTAAAATTATAGAGACAATTTCTAGACAGAACAGAACAAATGTAGTTAATAAGCATATGGACACATCCAATTTTTACACAATGACATTTGCATGCAAATAATCCTTCTCCGAAACATGTAAGGGACACAAATAGTTAGGTTTTTGTTGGTAAATGGACAAATACATTTTTATTCATTGTAGTAAAATATATAATATTTGGTATGGCAAATAGTTATACCTACAAAATTATTCAATTAAGCTGTTGCTGTGTACCCTTAATGACCATTTGAAGCCTCAATTTAGGCTATACACCAATATACTCTACTCATAGATCTCAAAACAACAACATACCTGAAAATAAACGGCGAAAGGCATGACGACGACGGCAACAAGAAGATCGGCAAGTGCGAGACTGATGATGTAGTAGTTGGTAGCAGTCTGCAAGGACCTCTCCCGGAACACCGCAAGGATGACCAGGACATTCCCGAAGAGGGTGAGGAACGGAAAGACGAGCAAGAGGAGGGCAAAGTAGTTGCGAGCGGCGTGAGGAGTAACAGTGGAGTTGGAAGCGTTTGGGGAAAAAGAGTAGTTGAGATCCAAAAGCGGGAAATTCTCCCAGTCGAGTCCCACGGACGAGTTGTCGGGTTCCAGGAACGTGAGGGTAAGATTCGCCGGAGACATTGTGTCACTGACACTCACGTCGGCTGCACGTCTGACAGATCGTCAACGTCATTGCTGTTGATTATTATTCCCATATAAGTCTATAATGTGATGTCACTTCCATTAATACTGTTTAACTGTCCACATACATTGAACAATCGTTTAGGATTACCAATAACGTATTTTGTCTACCATTTGGAGACGATATTTAATATTAGAATAAAGTAGTAAACTTCTAAATTTTAAACTAGAGTAGTGTACAATATTGTACAAAAGAAACATTGCTATTGTTGGACATAAAAGCACCTAATAGGGTATTAATTTAATAATAATTTACAAAAAATGGAAAAAATCAATATTACTTATTATTGAACTGCAGTGAATCTAAATAGCAAGGTTCTGTAAAAGTCCATTACTTAGAACCATCAATTATAATATCATTGATTGATAATGTTCTGTTCGTAGGAAAAAATATTTTGGTTCCTCTACACGTTTTATTTTAAATCGATAATCATCCTAAAATGAATACAAAAATAATATTGAAACTATAATTTATCAAATATCCTATAACCTAAGTTTATTCATGAACAAGTCAAGCTCTAAATATATGACGTGAAGTACCACAAAATACATGGATTTGTTGTTTTTGTTAACACAGTAGAGCGATAGAACCAAAGCGAGGCAGGTCAATATCATGGTGATCTCCAACCGCAGTTATCGATCACTACAGCAACAAGTCACCACATTTAATACCGCCTCGAACATCGGCACCCGGACATGTTTCTGTACGGATTGAAATATTTCCCAAAAATATACCTATTTGGACAAAATCGGAAAATAAATATAAACGAGAGTATCACACATAGTATCAGCATCAATGGTGTAAGCTGGATTTGTGTTGGGAATGCTGATTCTAATACACAGCACGATAGTGTTGTAAATGTTGGCACCACGAACAGCGACGGCACTAGTGCACCACCCTGAGGCACTCCCTTATCCGTACCACCGTGTACTCAGCATCACTGGCGCTGTATCGGCCTCGCCTCAGCATCTATCAGCGCGCATGGCCGCGCACGCGCTCCCCCCTTCCGACCAATCGAGTCTTTAATCACAACTAAGAGACCCTCTTCGCGAGTCGCAGCTTCTTTTCAAGCTTTTTATTCAGGTCCTCAGCGCCAAGAGTCCTTCATCGCACGTGTTGCATGTTTCCGCCGCTTTACACTTTAAAGGGGCAATTGACACAAGAGATACTTTACTTTATCTCGGTAAAATGCGGTTTGTTATAGTAGAAAAGTTAAATTGATTTATTTGTTTGTATATACTAATACAAGTTTGTTATTACAATTTTTTCTAGTTAAATTATATTACGTAAATATCAAATGTATGGACCAGTAATTTGGACGAACATGTGTACTACGAGGTTAATCAAAAGGTAAAATCCTATATTTATATTATTTTACATACTATAATACGAACCAAGTCTGTTTGTCTGTCTTTCTGTAATATCTGTATATCTGGAAATCCAGCGGAATGATTTTAACAAAATTTTCGAATTAGGGAATTATAGCTCTAAAAACGTGATTGATGATAGCCACAGGCTCAGGAAAACTTGTATTTTGCTACACAACTTATTTGAAAGAAAAAAAACTACATTGGCCTGTTGGGTTGCTAAGTAACTATGTTGGTGGAATAATATAACAAGGAAAGATTTTAAAAAATACTTGTAAAATGTGTTTAAAACAAGCCATCCATACTATCCATCGTGTATCGCAATAGCAATTCATCTGTTGTAACTATTAAAGCTAAAAGATCACACTGAAGTTTACTCGACATAAGGAAAATACAGTCCACTCTTGGTAATTCAAACACTTGATAATTCAAAACTTTCGATAATTCAAAATGAAGGCTCAGTCCCTAGGGAATCTCTCAATATTTCAAATTTTTACCATGTATTTTGATACACTCGGTATTTCAAAGTCCAAATAGAGGGCAGGTCAATTTGTAACACGCAGTAATTCGAAGTTTCGTCGGAAAAACACTCTATAATTCGAAGTAACTCAGTAATTCGAAGTTTCGTCGGTTAACACTCTATAATTCGAAGTCATGCTGTAATTCGAAGTTAAGTCGGCAAAACACTCTATAATTCGAAGTGATCTCTTCCTGTTATAACAGGAAACTATACAGTACAGTACATTCTGTTCCCATGGTAGGCTAGTGTTGGACGTTTTGATGTTTGTTTAGTTAGAGCAGTAGTCTGAGTTAGTTCGCTGATTTGTTTTTCTAAGTTGGCAATCCGATCTCTAGATTGCGCGACATCTCCTTGAGCACAAACGTAGTTGTCGACAGCGGATAGTTTAGCTATTGGCGAAATATATAACGCTAAATAACAGATTTCTTTGCAACTACAGTAACTGAAAAATAAGCCGTTGATTGTTTAAAAGTGTACTAAAATACGGTATGATGTTTTATTGTAAAGTGCTGTACCTTTGTATGTATTAAACAAATGAACTCTCTGCAATTCGAATGGTTTGTTTTTCTCCCGATAAATCGAACTCTTGATAATTCAAAACTCTTGATAATTCAAATTGATATGCTTGGCCCACCAATTTCGAATTATCAAGAGTCTACTGTATAGTGTTTCTTAATCGTGACGTTTGAGTGCATTGGTGCAAACTCAATGTTTCACTTTATTTAAGGGTATATTTTACAATTGATATTTACTCTTTTGTTTTTTACACAATTTTGAAAAGCTGTATTCAGTTAAATTGTATTAAAGTAAATTGTATTACAATAATCTTTACAGTAAGCAATATAGGTTTGAATAGGACTTATCTGTCTTCAGCTAATCCATAATATTATAGTATTTTAGAGAGTATGATGCTCATGCTGGAGTTTTACTTATACTTAAAGATTTGATTTAGTAGGGCCTACAAGAAATAAATCAGACTCCTTACATACGCTCCACTATGCTGTATTGGTGCTACTGTATTAACCTGTGAGTGTATATTAATTCTTACAATAGGAACTAATATCAAAAAAATACTTTTGTTTTATATTATTTACAACGCAAGAAAGGTGTGAGATTAAAAATAAATGTGTTGGATTGCTAAGTTATTTTTTATATATAATAAAAGCCAAAATAATTTATACATAAAACGCGAGTTTTAATTTTTAATTATTGAGAAGTATCATCTACCTGCAAACATTTTATTTACCTACTTGTAAAAAAACCATTATAGTATTCAAGTCAAACAAGGGTCCTTACGTTTAAATACAAATTGATTGCTTGAATCAGGATTACATGGCAATAATAATTTTTTTTTTAATCGTGTATTTAGTTAACACGAAGTACAGTACAGAATTTTAGAATCGTAAATCAATATTTTACAATTTTATGACAATCAATAGGTAATGGAAAAAAAGATTGATAAGACGAAATCACAAGGGACTTCGTTGAACATGTGTTTATGTACTAACAAGAAAACATTACTTCTTTCATAAATACAAATCACTTTACTACCAATTTTATATCTTTGATTAGATTACTACAACATTAACTAGCTACTATACACAAACATACAAAATATATAAATAATAAATTAATAGCTATGAAATTAACTAATGACGCTTTGTTAGCAAGGTAGAGCTGAATTCTATTATGTTACTTATGTTAACTTAATACTGTAGTAGTGTAAACTTTAAAGGCTTGTTTTTAGTACTAAGATAGTTCAAAATAAAATAGTTTATTTATTTGTTTTTAGTCATAATCTGTAAGCTGTAAGCAAATTTAGAAGTTTTGTAAGTATACCATATACGGATTATCTATCACGTAATATTGTTTGCATAATAGACTACTAGATAATTTCCTGTAAGAATATCTAAATGATCAAAAATAGGTGAATACAGACCTACATAACAAATCAGTAGCAACCTAAAGCCACAAACTTTGATATTAATGAACTTTTTATCTATAGCAAGGTGAATTTATATCACATTAGTGTATAGAGGATAGTTTCTCTTGAATTAATGTATTTGCTAACTTATAATTTATTCTGGGTAAATGGAACGGCTTTCATTACCTTGGATTGCATATACTTGATGGTAACTCCTCTTCTGACACACAAACTAGTTGTTAGCTGGTACTGGTATGGTTATGAACAAGAGCTGTTTTATTTTAATATTGTATTATTAGGAATGTCATAAGCAAAAGCATAAAATAAAATGTATGCATAGGAAATTTAGACTTAAGTTCAAGAGTATCTTTTAATATTTGTTGGAACTAAACCATATAAACTAATGTATGGTATATTTTGTTTTAAATTTCTATTGATATTAGTGAGGATGATTATTAAAGTTATGGGTTACTAATACTATTTATGTTATGTAATTTTTTTTTTTCATTTTGAAATGTCAGGAGATTTTCTTGCCTTTTTACCCCGTATAAAATGGTTTAATGGTTTGGTCCAAACAGAACGAAGGTTCGTCTCAGTAAAATTAATTTGTGACATATTCTACGGGCCGAATTATTTTACGGTTTTAAAGAGCCTCAACACATAGTATGTCATATCCATATGTCCTTGTTAGTAAACTTCTACTATAGGGGAGATGCTGGCATGATAAGACCTAGTCCAAAGACCAAATTACTTTTTCATTTTAATATTTAGTTGAAAAAATAAAGATTTTATGAAATTGTTTATACATGTGTGTAAATGCATATGCATATTACCGTATGTTATTAGACATTTAACTCTGTTTCAGGATTTATCATTCAATTTGGTATTTTTGCTATCTAATATTTTCTTTTTACATAAATTTTAAGTGAAAAAATATTGACAGTTAGTGTTTTGAAGTTTTAAAAGTTTACTTTTTACATACCATTGATTTTAAGGTAAACGCGTGTGTTCCGATGCATAAATAGATTTTTTATAATTTTGCTTTTTCCATAAGCAGAAGTGCATTAACAATACTCAAAATTCTCAAAGCCTCCATAAGCCACTTTGAGGATTGTCTGATTCAACAAATCTCAATTAGGTTTCGTTAATCAAATTGTGCAATCCCAATAAAGTATTACAATATAAGATAACTGGCCATAGAAGATAGACTTCAACTACACCCAGTGAGTTAATATGCACTTTCTCGACGAGAATATATCCGTTCTTCCGTTGTATGAAAACTACTAATGTATTCTAAACCTAAAAACGTACATTGAATAAAATTGTTATTTCACAGTGTTCATTACCTTTAAGAAATCTGCA